GGGCAGGCCACTGACACACTTGTGGTGCTAACCTCTGCAGTTTTTCAACTCTAAAATACGGTGTCCTGGGGTGTGGTAACACTGCAGACGGTGTAAAATACAGATTTAAACTTCCCCTTGAGTGTCTTTTGAAAAATGACAGACAAAAAGAAACCCATTGAGCTAGCAGGCTGCATGGTTCACACACAACTACTGAAAACCATGCCTGCGCATGTCAGGTCCAGGGAGACCTCTGTCGACTTCTCTATAAAGTGTCCACAGCCAAATCTTTTGAGCCTTGGGTGGAAGGTGCGTGGTGGAGAGTGGGTGTCGCTGCACCACGCACGTCTGCAGGACTGAAGCTGCTTCAGCTGCTCGGTGTTGGCAGGTACATCCAGGGATTCCAGGAGTGCTCCCTGGGAGCAATCCCCTTCCTGGGGGCAAGCTGAGTTTACTGGCTGGTTGATGAGGGGGTACACAAGCCCAGCCCCTCACTCCAACTTAGGACTCTTGCTTGTCCAGTCCAGCAGGACACCTCACCCAACACTGAGGTCACTGGTGTGACTGCTCTGCCACCCAACTTTTTTCTCTACTGGAAAGACCTGGCCTTTTTCAAAAAGTGTGAAAGAATAACCGACAGGGTGAGACTGCATCGGCCAGCCTTCGTCAAGTAATGGCAGTGTTGGCAGTGTGCTCATAGCTAAGCTACACTGCCATGTGCTAGCTACTATTTCTGTAAAGTAGGCATTATAGTAATACATCGCAGAGTTTATGACAATTGAGCTCAGGTAGGTAAATCCCTTTGCACAGTTCCTGGAATACTAAGTGCTCAAAAATGCTGGTTATGATTTCTGATGTAGAGTGAAACCACAGGCTTTTCTGTATCAGAGCACTTATATGTGTGTGTGTGGGGGGGGAATGTCAGAATATTGTTTCAGATCTGGGTGACTTGGAGCTCAAGGAAACACACATGGCAGCTCTACTTACTCCTACAGTGAAGAAATGGGAGACTCAGAACAGCAACAATAGCAGCAATTTATTGAGGGTCTTCTGTATTTCAAGCACATTAACATACATCATTTCTTTCAAAGCTCATGATAACCTGATGACATAGACACTACAGTGGTGATTTTAGAGAAGACAGAATTAGGCCAGAGGTTAAGTGTTTCAAGTCACAGCTAACAATTAACAGGGAGATCAAAGCTCAGTGCCTTCTGATTCCTGTGTCTCTGAACTAGCCACATACCACTTAACTCTTTTCCTTACAATCAGGAAACCTGGGTTAAAAGCCTGGAATCTTAATCCAAAGTGTGAGTCTACTCTCCTAAATCACCCACTTTCAAAACTGAGGCGTTGAATAATCAGCCATCTCCCCTGCCTACCCATCAAGTCAGTAGGAGCCATCTGTTCAGGTCCAAAACTAAAATCGCACATTTAGTGCTCTGCTGTGTCATACATATATTATGCTACCCCTGTATGTAGCACAGTAAGTTTCGTAACTCGGCGGCCACTGAGATTTTAAACACTTGGGTTCTAATGCCGTAAAGGATATCAAGAATTGCTAAATCTCAAAGGAAACTGGAAGTTTTCTGCAGTACACATGCCATCCACCATAACCTCCCCCACCACAGCTCCCAGCTAAGGTGGAGACCCCAACGGGGCAGCCAGCTCTGAACACAGCTCAAATCTGGAGCTGTTCCGGGCTGGATTCCTTAAAAGGCTCTCTGCCTTAACTCCTGGTTCTATTATTATTTTTTGTATAGCTATAGAACAACCCAGTCACTGTCTAACCTTGGCCGTCTACTGTGATAAAGCCAATAGTTTAAAGTGACGATGGAGGTATTTGACATGCTAAGTATTTAAGACTTTGCTATCCTCACAGACGGAAATTATTTTAAGGAAAGCTCAATACATTTTTAGATAAATCCTTAATGGATAGATTCATGGAAAGTTTCATGAGGATGTGGAGATGTCTGGAAGTCACAGGGGACATGACACTCCTCTTTCTTGGTGCCACCAGTGTCAGGAACAGCTAACCTGTTCCCAGTTCATTAGACCTTGGTTTGGTTGTTAATGATGGAGGTTCCTGGCGCCAACATAATGCAGAATCCATGTGTTAATAAGGTGAGCCTGGGTTTTTACTTTTTGATTATATTTTTAATATTGCAGTGAAAGTACTTAATATTGCAGTACTTACAGTAAAAGTTTCAACTAAATGCTGAATATGATTTCTATGGCCTTTTATCTTTAGGTATATCTCTTTCCTTGATTACTGTCTGTTCTGGATAGTCTTCTTACATGCTAACCTTCAAATTTCTCTCTCAAGAAACAGCTGCCATGGCTTATCACCACACCTTCCTTTCCTCCTCCGCTGAGTCCACCATCTCTGTGCTCGCCCTCACTCCCAATCCTCAATTCCTTTTATTTGGTACCAAAGTCACAAATTTATTTCTCTGTTGTTACAGAGTAGATATTTTCCCTTTGGTTCTCTCTTTGGTCCAGTGCTATTTGTTTTAGCTTTATCTTGTGTTCTGCCCATACTGGGGACAGACAAAATTACAAATTTCACCAACCTTGGGAGACTTTCCCCATCAGGATTGAGATAACTTTTTAAAAAACATCCTTTAATGACTTCAGTTACTGATTTAACATACTTGCCTTATCTTTTATTTCACAACAAACTAAAAAATACTATTTTAAAATCAGAAAATGCAAGTTTACAAATAGATTAGAACATGCAAACTTAATATCAAACAAACCATATAAAAATCAAGGACAATGTGAAACAAATAATATACAAACTTTTATTCAAAGATAATTCAAGAAAGACATGTTTTGGTCATTTTAAAGTGAGATTAATTGAAGATCTCAAAAATTGTATCTCATCAATGCACTTGGCTACTCACAGAAAATTCTCTCTTCTGTTAATGGCAGCTAAATTTATACACACAGAAAAAATTCTTAAGACCATGCAAATTCAATTGAATTTCATACATTCATTATATTCATCAAAAACCTGCAGTAATGTTCATGCCAAAGTGTTACTTTAAGAATGAAATTTAAAATACACACCAAAACATGACCAAGATTAAACTAAAGAAAATAATAAATAAGCATAATTTATATTTTATTTAAAAAAGTTTGGCATCACACATATTCAAGTGTGTCACACCATATTCATTCCTCAGAAGTGGCATTTTAAAGAAGTGTTAAGCATTGTTAAATATCAAAAAATACAACTCTGTTTTACAATGTAGTACTGGCATAATTCAAAGTACTGTGCCAATTATAAATAGTATAATCAAGTTTCAAACATCTTTTCAAACATATTTAAAGGAAAGCATATAGACACATTTATATGCACACAATTTATTATACTCATGTAATCAAAGATATTTTATAAAAGCAGACAGTTTTATCCCTCAACTAGTTTTATATTTACATAGATTTCAATACCTGTTCAGAGATTTTTCAGTTCCTGTGTATACAGATTTTCAGGAGAAAGAATAAAGATAAAATTTAATTTTACAAGAACACACATTACTTTATCTTCCCCTCCATGAAATAACCCATAGTCATTCTAGGCTGATAAGAAGTAGTTTTTATGAAAGCAACTGTTGTCTAAAGACTGCAGAGTAAGTGCTGCAGTTGGGTTTCTCATTAAAATTCAGTCAGCTGCTGCTCATTGCAGAAAAGCTTACACGGTGCTTCTACCAAAAATAATCTTCAGTATCTGAGGCCTATAAAGGCAGACGATCTTATGTTCTGCTGAGACTTAAAGTGCAGCTACAAGTGGAGAAGTGCTTGATTCTTACTGCTTCAGAAATGCTTGTGGAAGCCTGTTTCTCACTTATAAATAGCCGAGATGTCTCACAGGCTCATAAAGGTTTATCGATAACTGTGACCCCTAAACAAAGAAACAAAGTCAGTCAGTCACAGGCAGCTCTCTGACAAAACTGGAATCCTCTCTACTACAGGAAGGGGGATCGAACAAGTCACGTTTCCAAATCTCAACTTCAGTACTACTAACTACCATTTGAAAATCTTTCCGTAGTATTACTATCATTTTAATCCTATGAATAAAATTTCAGTTATGAATTGAACTACATCAAACTACTTAATCCACAACTAGTATTTTGCTATTGTAGTTATAATTAAGGGCAAAAATTTTTACTCAGGAAATACCAAAGTTGACCTAATATCCAAAAAAGATAAAACAAGAAATTTTGGGTAGTGATGAATATTTTCATTATTTTGATTGTGATGGTGGTTTTATGGGCATAAATGTAAGCCAAAAATCAATAAAGTTGTATACCTTAAGTACATGTTACTTATTCTACTTCAGTATATTTCAATGAAGTTGTTAAAAATTCACTTAATTTTGAGTTATTTTGTTCTAGGATCCTACTGTATATTAGATGTTTTGGATGATACAAAAACAACAGTGATGGTCTTAATATAAACTTTTTTTCTCCACTACTGGCTATTAGAATGCTAATGAAACATCTGTTACTTAAAGCAATATAAATTTCTATCATTATAATTAACATGCAATAATTTTAAAGCCTCAGTATTTTACTAAGGGGTATCATAATTTCTCAAAGAGAATGAACCAAAATGACATTATATAATGCAACCAGTGATATACTTAAAAATTCCTCCATAATTCACCTGGAATACTATTACATGGGGAGGTGTAAGAGTCATATTTTGGGGGTTTCTGAGTTATTAGAGCTTTGCTTAGTCACACAGTAAATTCCACTCTACTTTGTAACAGATGTTAGCATCACTAAATTTTCTATCTTATTCTGCAATGGAAAGGTCTGGAATTCTGAATACAAATAGCAAATTCTTTATCTCCTATCAATCTGTCTGATGCTTGTTTGATTTCTCTGCAAGCTTTAAAGAAATAAGAGACATAGGATAATTTCCTTTAAGTCCGACAATATACTTTTAAAAAGAAAATTGCTGAGTTAAATGGCAGGCCCCTTTACATACACTATTTAAATTTATTTCTTAGAGCATATTTAATAAATTTAAACAACATTCAGAGCTAAAATGAACTGGTACCAGCTCAGAGTTATAAACAAAATATACGTGCTTTATTTCAGACTATCCACATCTGATATTATTTTAGATTAAGAAGCAAAATATACCTTGAGAATTGCAGAAAACCATTAAAAATTCTAGCAATGCGATCTTTTTGCCTTATAAACAAAAAACTGCAAGAATTTATTACCTGCATAACTTCTCCCTGTGCTCATACAAGATGACACTACTGTCCATTTATCAGTTGTTGGGTTATAATATTCTACTGATGCCAAGTTACAGGAACCATCATCTCCACCAACTACATATAACAGACCATTGACTGCACAAACTCCTGAAAAAAAATTACACAGAAAAAAAATATTAAAAAAAAAACGGATGACTATGAATATCCCTTACATGGTGAAGTGGTCCAGATATACTTATTTCCTTACTTATCCTTAGACTAAAGACCATTTATATTCTGGTATCTATTCTTGCTGACTTTTTTATGCATATATATATTCAGACTCTTCTATTTTCAACCCCAAAGTAGCTCATTCCAAATATGCTATTACTCATCCACTCCCAACAATGTATCTCGACATTCCTCATGTTAATAAACATAAGTTCATATATCATTCTTAAAGGCTGCCCTGTATTTCAAGTATGATAATACCACAATTTTATTTGTCTTCTACTGATACATACACAAGATATTTTCAGTTTGTTCCATGATAATGCAACAAACAAGGATACCTCTTGCATACTTTTGCATAGACAGGTAACAAGTTCCTTATTACAGGAGAGTAAAAATCTGCCACCCCAAAATATATCTTTGGCAAAAGGCCAATTTCACAGGAGGTACTCTGAAAGGAGAATAGAGGTCACTTTTGTAAAAGACATTTATTACATGTCAGCTTCTCTCAAAAAGGGGTCTTCTTCATTATGCCTGGAATACTTAACTTCCTTACCTATTTTCAGAGGAGAAGGGAGAACTTAAATCTGCATACCTTTGTTTACTATGCCCACCTAGCTAACCTCCACAACAGACCTTCATCTCCACCTCCCCCCCTTGCCTTAAACTATTTACCGGTGGCACAGAAACCATGGGGAGAGTTACTTAGCCATTCTGTGTCTCCTACCATGCATAGAGACAAAATACATTTTTTCCCTCTTTATCTCCTATTAGCCATTCTGTGTCTCCTACCATGCATAGAGACAAAATACATTTTTTCCCTCTTTATCTCCTATCAATCTGTCTGATACTTGTTTGATTTCTCTGCAAGCTTTAAAGAAATAAGAGACATGGGATAATTTCCTTTAAGTCCGACAATATACTTTTAAAAAGAAAATTGCTGAATTAAATGGCAGGCCCCTTTACATACTCTATTTAAATTTATTTCTTAGAGCATATTTAATAAATTTAAACAACATTCAGAGCTAAAATGAACTGGTACCAGCTCAGAGTTATAAACATATTAGAGGATGCCAAAACAGCTCAGAAAGATGTTGCCTACACAACTGGGCTCCTGTAGATAGTTCAGCTAACATAAGTAACAGCTGCTTACAGATTTTTTAAAAAAGATTTATTTATTTATGCTTACAGAACTGGGGTACAGGCCAGAGGTGTGGTGGGTGAGGATTCACCACAGACAGAGTGGGGAGCAGAGCAGGCAGAATGACCAAGTACACTGCTGAGGGAAGCAGCGGGGCGGGTCAGGAGAGGTCTGCTGCACCACGTGGGTCAGCTCCTTGGCAGGGATCAACAAGGGAATGCCCTGTTTACAGATTTTTTAACTTAACAAACAAATGACCAGCACTTAAAAGTACTCTAAACAGCACTTAAAAGTGCAATAAATACTATTAGTATCTACTGTATAAATGGAGTGGATCATTTCCATTCGAATTCAATTGTATGACTGTTCTAGTCACTTGACAGGAAGCAAACTGATACCATTTTAAAGCAGTCCTAAGCTGAAAAGCAAAAGCAGGACAGAACAGCTCTATAAATGCAAATTATAACCTTTACCTTTTGACTAGAAGAAATGGACTAATTTTCACTTAAAAACAATAAGGCACAGAGAAAAAACGATTCTTCTACTCTTTTAGAAAATAACAGTGGAAAGTGCAAATTGCAAATATATTTCCCAGTATGGGAAGGCACAAGCATATTTTAAGATAATGTTTCTGACTTAATTTGCACTCAAGTCATGTATTTATAGTTAGATCTCAGAACTCAGTCTCACACTGGTTCTGGACTACAGAAGTTTTTACAACCTTACCAAATATAACTGATCAGATTAGTATAAGATCAGTACAATTAACTGTCAGTGCTGTTCTGCTGCTGACAGCCCTTTCACTATAGTACCCTGAATTCTATGTCTCCCTCGATAATCACATTTAAACAAAGAGAAATAAGGAAGAGGATCTGTATGTGCAAGTGAGGTGGGGATGCGTCTTGCAACATCATCCAATGAGTGATGTACAGTGAACTTGACAATTATGAGAAAATTACTTCGGCGTGAAGATAATGGCATTTTAAAGAAGACTGGTATTTCCCTACAGATTAGCTATCCTGAATCTTCTTTCCATTTTTATTTCCCTTCCATAGATCTTTAAGAATTCAGTTTCTTAATCCTGAGGACATACTTTTTTTAAAAAAATTATTACTTGTTGCTATTTTATAGCTTTTCTAGAATTCCTGAACTGTGCTAAATTAGGATTAGCTCCTGTAGTCTTTCCCTCCAGATAAATCTTTTAATCTGGTATAAATATTAACTCAACTAGACTAAAATCCCCAAAAACTTGATCTCCGTGAATGATACATGAGAGGCACTAAAAAGGTTTGTGATAAGAATGAATGAATTCAGCAGCTAATACGGAAAGGCTCTTATACTAACTCAGTCTCCACACTGCCAAGCAGTAGTCACTGGCAGAAAAGATAAGCAAGCAGCAGTGACCTGCTGTGTCCCACACACTACCCTGGGAACTCACCATCCAGGACTATTACCCAGGCTTCTGGCTTAAAATAGCTAGTCCATGAGAAAAAAGCCATGGAAACACACAGCAGCAGAAGCAGACATTTAAATTCAATTCAAATTTCGTGATTTTAAGCCAGCCAGATACCTGCATTTCTTCTGCACATGTTCATATCAGCAGCCTGTCTCCATGAATTGGTGGCGGGGTCATACACTTCAACACTTTTTCGTACTAAAGGGCCATCGTGACCCCCTACAGCATACAGTAAGTTGTTTAACACACCAACACCTTAAAACACAAACAACCACACTGTGTTAGAGCAAAAGGACAAGAAATTTATAACATACCAGGGTTTATTCAAATAACCTGTAACTAAACTTTTAAAATCATTATTCATGGTAAATAAATCAGTATTAAAGCATACAATCTAAGAAATGGAAGTGAACAGAAATGACAAGAACTATTATTCCAAAAAAAAAACAGAGGCATGTCAAAGAGAATAAATATGAAAGGAAACAGAGGTCCCACAACATAACTCTTTTGAGGAAAAAAAAACTTTCATAATAAAAGCAAACCAGTATAAAAGGTACAATTATAGAGACTCAGTGAGCATGTTCCCCAGTAAGTACAAACAACCAAAAACCAAAAGAAATGCCAAAGAACAGAAGAGTTACATGGAAGAGAAGACGCCTTTAACAGAGCATTCCACAATTAAATCTTACAAAGTGAAATTTAATCACAGCAACTTACCACTGTGTAATTCAAAAGGCATTTAATAGTGTCTTTAGTAAAATCAGTATATAACCTATTTTCTGATCATACAAAGAAATGCCAATGCATCATTTCATGTTTCACTGGCTCCTGCTTCAACTGCTACCCGGAGTTCACGCCCACCTGCTCCGCTCCTGCGGGTGCTCATCTCCGCTATGTAGCTCCACTCGTTGGCCGCAGCATTGTAGCACTCCACTGTGCTGAGACACTGGCGGGAGGCGCCGTCATAACCCCCCACAGCATAGAGCAAGCCTGAGCATGGAGTTACAAAGAAAGTGAAATTCGCACATGGCTACTTCTTCCAGTTAGACAAGAATATATTTTCCTTCATGGCAGCTGAGTTTCCCTTTAAAGTGCTACTGATTTTTATGAACTTTAAGCCCTTGCTTAATGGTGATAGGTGGAGAGATGAAGAGATGAAATCACAGTAAGCAGACCGGTGGGATACGTTTAGTATTACTTTTAGATTTTCATCAACATTCTGATTGATAGTATGAGAAATACATTCGCTATCTCTTTGTCTAACACTATTTGGAAAGTCAACAATTTCCTGAAAAACAAACTTAACTATCAATCTATTAAGCTGAAAAAACAGTAAATTAAGAGGTAATAGCAGTAGACAATATTATTTGGTGATTAAAGGAAATAAGGTGCTAGTTAATTTTATAGCATGGATCAATCTGGAAACCATCGTGCCAAGTCAGTCACACAGGACCACACTCAGTATAAATTCA